TGTCGAGCGGCCGCAGTTTGTATTTATATATGTACATCGCAGGGGGAGACCGGCTCTTGGGCTCTTGTGGGGCACAGCAGGCGGGKGGGGGATCCCCGGCGGGTCCCGGGGGTCTTGGGGGCTTCCCTGGTCCGGGAGGGGGAGCGGTTTTTGGGGCACATCCCAGGGGGTGTCCAGCGTCACCCATGGGGGGTCCCGGGGGCCGGGGTGGTGCCGGTGGCCCCGTAACTCGCGGGGGGTCCTCCCGGGGGTCCTCCCCCACCGMCCCCTCCTCCTCCTTCTTCCTCCCCTTCCTCTTCCTCCTCCTCGTCGCTGGCCCCGCCCGGCGCCAGAGGCTCCGCCTCCTCCCGCGGGGGCTCCGCCCACGGCTGCGGCTCCCCGGAAGCGAAGACGCCGTAGAACGCCACCCCCGCGTAGTGCACGAGCGCGGCGATCAGGAACACCCACTGCCACTCCTCGCGCGTCTGGGCCAATCAGCGCCCGCCGCCCGCCGCGAGCGGCCAATCAGCGCCCGCCGCCCGCCCCGAGCGGCCAATCAGCGCCCGCCGCCCGCCCCGAGCGGCCAATCGGCGCGGGGCGCGAGCGGCATCAATGGGAGGGGGCGTGGCCAAGGGGAGCGCGGGCAAAGCGGGGCAATAGAATGGGGCGTGGTCAAGGGAAAAGGGGGCGGGGCCAGGGCAAACCATGCGGTGAATGACAGCGCGACCCCCAAAATTCGTGTCCTCGTCCCCCGGTCCCGTTCTGACCCCCCAGGCGCAGCTGTGCCCCCCCGGGCCCGTTGTGTCCCCCCCCGGTCCCACAGTCCCGTTGTGTCCCCTCCCGGTCCCACTGTCACCCCCGGTCCCACTGTCCCCCTCCCGGTCCCACTGTCCCGTTGTGTCCCCCCGGTCCCACAGTCCCGTTGTGTCCCCCCGGTCCCACAGTCCCGTTGTGTCCCCCTGGATCCCACTGTCACCCCCCGGTCCCACAGTCCCGTTGTGTCCCCCTGGATCCCACTGTCACCCCCCGGTCCCACAGTCCCTCCCCTGTCCCACTGTGTCTCCTCTGGCCCCATTGTCCCCCAGGTCCCTTTGCTCCTCTCAGGTCCCACTGTCCCTCCTCAGGTCCCCTTTCCCCCTGCCCCAGTCCCACGGTGGCCCCACAAGTGCCACTGTCCCTCCCCAGTCCCCGCTGCCCCCAAACCCCCCAGGGCCCCCCCTGTCCCCTCACCTTGTGGCGGGTGAGTGCCCCCACGATGAGGGGACACACCATGCCGGACAGTGTCCCCACGCCGTTGGACAGCCCCATCAGGACGCTGGCGTAGCGCGGGGCGATGTCCAGGTGGTTGACGTTGAACCCTGGCGGGGAGGACGGGCTGTCACGMGTGTCCCCTGCTGTCCCCACCCCCGTCCCGCTGTCCCCTGCCCCCACCGGAGATGGCGAAGCCGCTGAAGCCCACGGCCAGCACCAGGAAGGAGATGGCCACGGCCCGGGAGTGGGAGTAGCCCACGACCAGCAGCAGCGTGGCCTCCATGCCAAACCCTGCGGAGGACATTGTCACCTGCTGTCACTTCTGTGTCCCGTCTGTGTCCCCCCCGTGTCCCCTCGGTTCCTCCCAGGTGTCCCCACGTCCTCCCTGGACCCCGCTGTCCTCTCAAATCCGCCCCCCCCCCC